TATAAGCATACAATCACATACAATATACAAGACTTGATAAGCCTCTTACTCACAATCAGTGTTGCAAGATTCGAAGATTTTCTATCTCAGCGCCGTCGACGGTGGAGTGATGAACTTTTAGTAACTTGCCATGAGTTTATAGACTGTATCAGTAATGCTCGATCGAAGACGGAAGTGCAAGAATTTTTTACCGCTGCTACTTCATATCTTTCAGAAAAAGACATGCGAAAAATACAAGTCGAATATCGCGCCACATGTTTCAGATGGAGCGCCAGGTGTACAGATGCGCGAAAAGAGTGAGACCACATGCACTACAAATCGTCAGCTAATCATGAGCACAGCAATTCGCTGCATTGTTTCAATTCAAGAGAATTGAGAGATTGTTTACTCTTGATCGCAGCTTGCTAAGCAATCAAAAATGAGGTAAGAAATTGCTTTGCACTCTGATTGGTTGACGATTCACTGCGAATTAGATCTCGTTTTCTTTTTGAGAAATCTGTGCGGAGCTGGTTGCGCAGTAAAATGATAGTGATATGCCAGATACGCGCGCCAGCTTATTAAGGAGTAGGGAATATTAGGGAGGGAGGAAGGAAAACGTGCAGGATTACAAAGATTTGTCAATTGTCAGTGTCATAGTATCATATTAACTCATGACATTTTTTTGTATGAACCAAAGAAATAATATATTTCCTTAATTTCTTTTATTTTACAATCCACACGAAGTCTTAATAGAAAAACTGATATGTAACCTTTAAAAGTGATACACAAACTAGGTTAAGATTGCATTCTTTTGTTATGTAGTTTATATGTATTCTGGTTGGAATCTAAGCTTCTGAATTTTTACAATCGTTTTTAACTGTTGTTGACAGTCTTGTTTGGTATAAAACAACACTAGATTTAAATCAATAAATGTACAATAATGAGGACTAGAAAAACATTTGCAATACTTGGTGCAGGCTTAATATTGGGTGGTTGCGTGATGATATACTTAATGATGGATCTAGTACTTTTTCCACCTGGACAAGGACCTAAACTTTCTGTAAATGATGTAAGTCTATGATAAATATAATACATACCATATAATGTATATTAATTTTAAATAAAATTTCATATCTCATATTTTCAGAATCAATGGTTACATTTTGAGAATAGATTAGCAAAGTTAGAGAAAGATTTCAATAAGCACCACGAAGTCATGGATGCTTTACGTGAAGTGGCTGAAGCAAAACATTTTGTCCCTATAGCTCATTCCATAAATCGGTATAATCAATCCTTATCTTCAAGTTCCTCCCATTTAGGAAAAGTACTTACATGTAACTTTAATATACAGAAAGTACCAGAAGTAGATATACAAATGCTAGAAATATATAGACAACTCGAATTTGATAATATCGATGGTGGAGTTTGGAAGCAAGGATGGGATATTACATATGATGATAAACAATGGCATCCAAACAGAAAGTTGAAAGTTTTTGTAGTTCCACATTCTCATAATGATCCTGGATGGCTCAGCACTTTCGAGAAATATTATACACTACAAACTCGAAATATCTTAAACAATATGGTACCAAAATTAGTAGAGGATAGAAGACGTAAATTTATTTGGGCAGAGATATCATTTTTTCAGCTTTGGTGGGAGGATCAATCAAAAACAACTCGTAATTTAGTCAGACGTTTAATTCATGATGGTCAATTGGAAATTGTATCAGGAGGGTGGGTCATGCCAGATGAATCTGTATCTCATTGGATTGCTCAACTCATGCAACTTACTGAAGGTCATCAATGGTTAAAACATAATTTAGGTTACACACCAAATTCAGGCTGGGCTATTGATCCCTTTGGTCTTTCTCCAACTATGCCATATCTCTTGAAAAATGCTGGACTAGAAAATGTATTGATACAAAGGGTACATTACTCGGTTAAAAAAAAATTGGCCAGAGGAAAAAATTTAGAATTCCGTTGGAGGCAATTATGGGACAATAATGGATCAACAGAGATTTTCACTCATGTTATGCCATTTTATAGTTACGATGTACCACATACTTGTGGCCCAGACCCAAAAATATGTTGTCAATTTGACTTCTTTCGACTTCAAAGTTTTGGATTGACCTGTCCATGGAAAATATCTCCACGCACTATAACTAAAGCAAATGTTGCTGAAAGAGCTGCTTTATTACTAGATCAATATCGAAAGAAAGCTCAACTTTTTAAGACTGATGTGGTACTAGCACCATTAGGAGATGATTTTAGATATACTCAGTTTACTGAATGGGATGCTCAATATATTAACTATCAGAAACTGTTTGATTATATGAATAAAAATGAACAATTGAATGTGCAAATTAAATTTGGAACGTTAAGCGATTATTTTGATGCAGTTAAAGAGAAGCATAATTTGAGTGACTTTCCTACTTTGTCAGGAGACTTCTTCACATACGCTGACAGAGATGATCATTATTGGAGTGGATACTATACTACAAGGTATATATAAAAATGTCCATTATCAAAGATTTCATCATATGTTAATTAAATATATTTTAGACCTTTTCACAAACGATTAGACCGTGTACTATTGAGTTTACTACGAGCATCAGAAATATTAAATACTATAGCTTGGACTAAAAGCAATGACAAATTAGTGGAAGGAACTCTTGCTCAACGACTAAGCAAGGCAAGGATGTGGCATTCTTTGTTTCAACATCATGATGGTATCACTGGAACTGCTAGAGATGAAGTAGTCATAGATTATGCTAAGAAGATGATAATGGCTTTAAACAATTCTGCTCATGTACTTCAACAATCTGCAATACACTTATTAAAAACTCCTCCAGAATCTACAGTAGATGTAGAAGCTGTGCATATAACACTTGATGAGACCAGGTGTGGAAAAACTTTAAAATAATTTAAACATTTGTATTTTTCTATAGGCATTACTATTAATGCATAAAATATTTACTTTTTGATAGATTACGTCATACCAGCGCCGGAGACAAACATGTACTAATATTAGGAGATGAAGATCCTTCCAAGAAAGTTATCTTGTACAATTCTCTTCCAAGGCAAAGAACGAAAGTACAAACCCTAGTTGTATCAACTCCATATGTCAAAGTCACTGACCGCATGGGTCAACCAGTCCAATGTCAAATTTCTCCAATTTGGATTGGTCCTGCTGCATTAACTGCAGCTAGATATGAGTTATCGTTTCTAGTAACTGTACCAGGATTTGGTATTGCAACTTATATAATTCATGCTCTACCTAAAACTTCATTTCCATTGTATGATACCTTTTTCTTATCTAACTATCTTTGTATATGTTTAATTACTCATACTGATCTTTTACATTGCATAGAGAAGTACACCTTGCTAATGTGACCGTTTACAATACGGATATCAATCTTCATAAAATACCAGGCTTTGATCAAATTCAGGTAGTATCAAGTGCCCAAGAATTCTCAATTACTCAAAGGCCGGACTTCTCTGCATCATTCGGTAAATCTGGCCTTTTGAAAGCTTTAAAAGTTGGTAATACTACATTCCCTGCTCACATGGAATTTGTTAAGTATGGGACCAGGGGTTCTGGTAAAGATAAAAGTGGAGCTTATTTGTTTTTACCTGACAAACCAGAACCAGACTTAGTATTTACAGATAATAAGTGTATTATACATTTGATAACTGGGCCCATCGTCTCTAAAGTATTTGTAGAATTAGCCCATGTACGCCATACTTGTATATTGTATAATTCACCTGGTAGCGATGGGCTTGGACTACATATACTTAATGAGGTCGATATATCAGAGACTCAAAATTACGAACTTGCTATGAGATTGAATACAGATATAGCTTCGGGAGATCAATTTTTCACTGATTTAAATGGACTTAATGTAAGTATCAAGGTATCAACGTTCCATTAGAAACGTAAACATAAGAATTATTAACAATATATACATTTTTTTGTTTAGATGATTAAGCGTCAAAGATTTCCAAAACTTCCTATTCAAGGAAATTACTATCCAATGGCATCAAGTGCATACATAGAAGATAAAAGAGCAAGATTAACGGTGGCAACAGCACAACCATTAGGTGTAAGTTCCATGGAATCAGGGCAAATTGAAGTAGGTACCTTATTATCCATTTAGACATAAGTGTAGCTAAAATCACTATAAAATCTATATTGGAATATAGATAATGCAAGACAGAAGACTACTTCAAGATGATAACAGGGGATTAGGTCAGGGTGTCACTGATAACCTATTAACAAATCACTGGTTTATGTTCATCCTTGAAAAAAGAAAATCTTCGTGTCAATCTCCATCACCACCGGCAAATCACCCAGCAGGATTATTATCGTTATATGGTCATTTAGCTTCAGAAGAACTGCTGCATCCAATAATTGCAATGCATCCTCAAAATATTGTAGGATTTGATTTAAATGCGTTTTTTTCACCACTTCGCTATGATCTTCCTGTAGATTTAAATGTTGTGAGTTTTAGAGTGTTCCCAATACCTGATGGAGCTGGTAAAGGTATTGGAATGGTTTTACATCAAGTAGGTTTAGACATGTGTTGGAACGATAATTCTTATCAGCGATACTTTAACATCTCTGAATCAGGAGAAGTCGATTTAACTAAGCTCTTTAATTACGTAGATGATTGGGTTATAAGCCAAGCTCCTCTTACATTCCATAATGTAGGGCCATCTTTGAAATCACCGATTGTCAATTTATGTCCACACCAAATATTACCAATTTTGTTTCATAAAACGCAATCGTAAATTTAAAGAGAAATTAGTTCTTTATTTTTGTATAGTTTGATACAAAACTACTCTTTTTTCTTCATTACTGATCCACTGTCAACGGCCTTACTCACAATAACATAGTGCAATAGATCAGATACAGGTGGACTAGTTTTGTCCAGTTTATACCTACGGCATAAGCATATTTACTTGAGCATAACTAGATTGTTTACAATATGCTTTGTACAGTAAAATAGCATAATCTAAAATTTATATTGCCTAACAATGATTTATAATATTTCTCAAATTAAATGTAAGTAAATCTGAATAATGAAATTATAATTTTTATTCGACGACACTGTGCCGTATCAAGAAATAAATGACGAAAAAAAGATTTTTCTTTATGAAAAACTTTCACTATTTAAAAAGCAAATATTTTGTTTTTTATAAAGCTTAGACTTGACTGACAGACTATTCCTTTACTTGCATTTTGTCTTTCGCTAACTACATATTTTATGTGGACTGCCCACAGGCATGTGCCCATAGACAATTGTCCACCAGTCTACATTAGACATAAGAAGTATTTATTTGACATAAGCATAATTATATGAATAGAAATACTTAATTACAAAGTAAAAATATGCTTTCATGCTAGTCGTATCAATATCCTAATAAAAATGTAACTTTTTTACATTTACAGTACATGTATATTATATTATGGAACATTAAAAAATCTTGTCATAAAATTGGTGTATATAAACTATATCCTTATCATACTTATTAAACTTTTTGTAATTGCAAAATAAATATATTTACCCAAGAGAATAAAAGAACTGCATAGCGGAAGGATTATGCTTGAAAACAGTTAAAACTACTTTTTGCATTCTATTCTGCAATGCCATAGATTCAAGGATGGATAGCATGAATTGACCAAGTCCCTTTCTTCTTACTGCTAATTCCAATTGTATTTCATAACTGCATTTAACAAAATTTCTATTTCACCTTTTCATAGCTTAAGCAAAAATATATGTTAAAGTCTACATACCAATAGAGTACTTCTTCCCTATGATCTATATCAAATCGAAAATGAGAAAATCCAAGAAATTTATTATTTGATGAAGCTACTAAATACCAAGCTGCTGGCTCTGTTAATTCTTGTTTCTTTGCAACTGGATCCCATCCCCAGTCACATTGTTCATACATGGTTTTCATATTACGTTCCATAATGTCAAATATCCAAGATAAACATTCTGCAGTTGCATGTTTGGCTCTCATGCAAGAGATGTCGATAATTTGATTGTCCTTTGTTACATACTTGTGAAAAGAAGGTAAAGATTCTAAAGGATTTATTACAGCATTTGCTTTGTCAACTAATTGTTTTGCAGTAGCTTCTTTTTCTGCTAAAAGCTGACGTCTTGTTTTTCTTTTCTATAGAAAAAAGAACATACACATGTATGAATTCGAAATCAATACATTGACCTCAGAATTAATATGTATAATACCTTCATTATATTTATATTTCCCGCATATTTTAAAAGGATTATATTTTTAGGTTATATTCTTCCTTCAAATAATCTTTCTGACCTATGAAAAGTGAAAACGTTCAAGTTAATTTCGTATTCAGACTCCATAGTTTCTTTACATGTACATTATGTACATAATTAGTTTTTAAACGTACGTTTACATAAGTATAAAATACTAAAACTATGTTTATAATATTATAAACAAACACTTATTTTCATAAAAGAAATCTTTTCTCTGATTAATACAAATTGTGCATTAAATCTTAATGTATATTAAAAAAAATCTAAATAGATAGATAAAAAACATCTTATGTACCGTCGAAATTTATTATATGATTCAACAGTGCGATGAGCCCTTTGCAGCCCTTTATGCATGCGTTTCACTTTGAACCGATTTACATTAAAAGTAATGTACATATGTACATATACATATGACACAGGACGCAATGCAACAGTGTTGTTTCTGTTGCATTATATATTCTACTTTATGCATGTACTTTTGGACATTAATATGTGTGTATACTAGTGTTATAAATTTGAACTGAAAAATTTCAGAAAAATCTAGTTCGTTCGATAAAATTCTTTTACGTAAATACTAGCGTATTGTTATAAGTGTGTAAGAACTCAGATGATGACCAAATAATATCAACTGGTTGGCAGCAGATGCATTTTTGCACTTTATCGTTAGTGTCCCCTAAAAAATGTCTTTATTTAAATTTATTGTGCAATTAAAATTAATCATGTACAATTTTTTCCTTTCTCTTCAATGTATTCATTTATTTTTTTGCGGATATAGGTTAAGTAACTTTCAATTAGTCGCGTATGTATTACGTATTTTTTCTATTTGTATTACCATCAACATCAATATCTAACATATGTTGGGTAAGGATGA